ACTGCTTCATACGAACTGACCACTCGAGTTACATCGTCTAGTGTCAAGGACTCCTTTTGCAGCAGTTTCTCCTTTAATTCCGGAGGAGCAAACAGAATTATCTTGTCAACGACAGCGATATTACGACTCTCCTCAAGGGTACTTCCGAAATTGCATTTTCGAGCCACCTCAAGCGAACGCCACAAAAACTTCTCCATAGACTCATCCTCCATTGGCTTCAAATTCCAATAGGAATTCCTTTCGAAAGCTTCGTGCCGTTTGGGCGAAAAATATTCATCAAGTTTCTCGATCGCCGTTTGATACGGATCGATCTTCTTTTCTTTGTCTTCATCAACGTCAGCTCCTGGTATTGAAGAGAAAACTTCCTGCACGTCCGGGCCGGCTCTAGCCAAAAAAATATTTTTCAATCGGGTTTTGTCCTTTTCCCCATTGGCAGCCGCTATGAAACCGAAATTCCGTTTATATTTCTGCCATTCGTCGCGTACGGTACTGTTTGGAATCGATCTGAACTTGAATTGCGGTATGTCCCATTTGTCCATCTTTGATTATTTGATAAAAACGCTAAAATTTAAAATAATTGTTTTTGGTTTTCGTTTGTTAGTAAATACTATTTACGCATTCACCTTTCCAAAATCGACGAATTACGTTTAAACACGGCCAACAATACGATTGACATCCACGAATCCTGTCGGCCGGCCAGTTTCCGTCTGGCGGCTTCTTGCCTTTATCGGTCGTCCTCGACCCGAGAGCTACGTTCCTTTTGACGGTCTTCCTCGACCTGACGGCTTACTGCCTGGTACGGTCTTCTCACTGACCTGACGGCTTTCTGCCTGCTACGGTCTTAATCTGACCTTCGTCGTGCAATGCACCGACCACTACTTGGATGTAGTATTTTCCACTAAATTAGACAAAATGAAAACAAATTCTTATTAGAATTCTTGCCATCCACATTTTTTTTTTTTTCATCACGCATAACATAACCAAGAAGAGTCTTTCCTAGCCCAGCAAAAAAGTTTTTTTTTTTTTCTCCAATATTTCTAAATAAATCTTACCTGTAATTAATTCCAGTTTATATCCGTCGTCGCCAGATGTGATAACCCGTTTTATTAATGATTAATCAACTAATAATTAGTGCTTTTAATAAGAACGTTTATTTAACGATTATCTGTTCCTCTACGTTTCTCTACAGATGTCATAGTACCGTCCGTCTGCCCAGTGGTTAGCCGTACGGCATATTGACATCCGTAGCTCAGCTTCAGCCCAGTGGCTGTGGCTACTTACGGACTGCCACAGTCGTAAAAAGTGAAACGTTTTTTTTCTTTGCTAACAACGAGTAAAATTCCAGCTGAAATTGAACAGATCCGTAAGTAACTTTGTTTTGAAAATTAAAACTATGCTAGATAAACATTTAAAAAGGTCCTATTTGCATTGAACGATTATTTTCATCGACTTTCTCTTCCATTAATAACTCAACTTCAAAAGCATTCCCTGCTGTGTTCAACGTTCTAAGCACAAGATATGAACTGCTGCTATCAAACTGTGTGGCAAAATTAGCACCAAATGCATTTGCGTAGGCGTGGTTATCAAAAGAGAAAGTCGATGAAGAGAATCGATCAAAGCAGATAGGACCATTTGAAATGTTCATCGAGTATGGTAATGATGCCATTCACAATGATGGTGGGACCTTCCTTGATCATTAATTTGCTATCTCAGAATTATCTTCCACTTTTCCTAAGCCCTTCAGTGATGCATTTATGGGCATTCGTATGGTGCATTAGTATTGAAGTATTCCGTCAATTTGAAAACACCGCGCGGCATTTCGATTTTTCTCAAACGCGCAGTTGCACAAAATTTCCCGCGGCCTTTGGTTAAGTTGTGACGCTTGGTAACTTGACACAGTACTCGCTGACCATTTGAATGTAACTGGCCAATCCGACACTGTTGTTATCATTCTCATAGACGGGGTTGGTCGATTCCAAGAATTGTTAAAGCATACAGAGGATCACCCTATCCGGTGGTTTCATGGAAATATATTCTTTATCAATACGTACCGTTTGGGATTGTAGTCCTTCAACCTTTCATTTTCATTTTCTCCAACATTAGATCCTGCTACGCCTTCCGTTGGATCGTGATGTAGGTACCGGTTCTTTCTTCTTTTTGACACCATGACAAGTTTTTCGGTTTGGAGTTGGAAAACCACTGGCTTGCTGGGATTAGGATACAAATTGCCGTGAAATTTTGTAGAGCAAAACAAAAACAACGAGTACCGTGTTATGATTATTCGTTTCGGTGACATTAGGTCACACACACAGTCACTGTTTATGAGCAGTCTCACTAACACTTGTGCTTCAAAGTTCCACCTTTGATTGACATAGGCGCTGTTATCAGTGACGTTTGACATTTGTATGGGAGAAGGAAACAGTTGCTAGGCTTATTGATTTGTAGTCTTCGGTTTAGGTCAAGGCAACTAAAACGCCACCTAGACCGTATCGTGCAATGAATCTGCGGAATTGGTGATTTACACTTCACTTAGATTCACTACGCACACTTGGTATTATGTTAAAATTATGCTTCACAGACACTTCTGGTCTACACGCTCGTCGGAGGTAAAGTGAACGATGCCCGGTCCCTTAAGCATCGGAGAACCCTTCAGTTCATCACCCGTGACTCCGTATCACCATTTTGCCGCAGTCATGCATGCCTTATTCAGCAATCGGCCGTTAAGCATGGCCGTATGTTCTGCCCAGTGGGTTTCACTGCACAGATTTACTTGATTGCTCGATCACATGGCGCACATTTAAAAGATTGTATTGAACCTTTGTAACACAACGGTTACAAGAATTACCTTGGAAGAATTCCATAAATTTCGCGTGAAGATCTCCTCAAAACTAGAATGGAAGTCCAGTTAGAACTCTCTTAGACAATTCTTTAGAATTCCATTTAAGTTCGCCTCAAAATTCTTCAGAAATTCCCAAGGGAATACCACGAAATGCCAGAATCTTGATTATTTTCTTCAAGCCGATGAAGCTAGAAATTTTTCAAAAATCATTATTGTTATCAAATCTGGGATCTTGGAAAACATTTCAACATCCGAAATCGGAATCTTCGTTCCAGAATCTTGAAAATTTCTTCAAACTTGGATTATTTTTTTAAGGTCCAGGATTTGAAAATTTTCTTCAGCCCTATAAAATTTGATATTTTCAGAATCTGAGGAATGTGACTCATGATTTTTAAATATGCTTATATGGGAAATGGATGTAATGTCGGTCTAAATGCCCCTAATTTGGGCCCACATATAAATTCAGCAATCGACTAAATCTTCAATAGCGACCCAACATAAAGGGTGATACGGTCAAAATTTGGTCAATATCAACTTGACGTATTTCTTTCAATTTTGCATTTAAAAAACCTGAACACCCCTCATTTTGAAGGTGTGTGTGTGTAGAATGTTGCTCCTATTTTGATTTTGGAATTCACTCTTCAGTTGTCAAAATGCCGTCCAAGCAAGAAGAGCAGCGTATCAAAATTTTGCTCGCGCATCGCGAAAATCCGAGCTACTCGCACGCAAAGTTGGCAAAATCGCTAAAAGTTGCCAAATCAACCGTTACAAATGTAATTAAAGTGTTTGGGGAACGTTTATCGACAGCCAGGAAGTCTGGATCGGGGGGAAATCGAAAACCGGAAGCCGCTGAGACGACAAAGAGAGTTGCCGGTAGTTTCAAGCGAAACCCTAACCTCTCTCTCCGAGATGCCGCAAATAAGCTGGGTGTATCGTCTACAACCGTGCATCGAGCCAAAAAACGAGCCGGACTATCGACTTACAAGAAGGTAGTGACTCCAAATCGCGATGATAAACAAAATACGACGGCCAAAGCGCGATCCCGGAGGCTGTACACGACGATGCTGACGAAGTTTGACTGCGTGGTAATGGATGACGAAACCTACGTCAAAGCCGACTACAAGCAGCTTCCGGGACAGGAGTTTTATACGGCAAAAGGAAGGGGAAAGGTAGCAGATGTTTTCAAGCACATGAAACTGTCAAAGTTCGCAAAGAAATATCTGGTTTGGCAAGCCATCTGTACCTGTGGCTTGAAAAGCAGTATTTTCATAGCTTCCGGGACTGTCAACCAAGAAATTTACGTGAAAGAGTGTTTGAATAAACGTCTGCTGCCTTTCCTGAAGAAACACGGTTGTTCCGTACTGTTTTGGCCGGATTTGGCATCTTGCCATTACGGTAAAAAGGCCATGGAGTGGTACGCCGCCAACAACGTGCAGGTGGTTCCCAAGGACAAGAACCCTCCCAACACGCCAGAGCTCCGCCCAATTGAGAAATACTGGGCTATTGTCAAGCGGAACCTAAAGAAGACCAAAAAAACTGCTAAGGGCGAGCAGCAGTTCAAGGCAAACTGGCTTTCTGCGGCGAAGAAGGTGGACAAGGTGGCTGTACAAAATCTGATGACAGGGCTCAAGCGTAAGGCCCGGCAATTTGGATTTAGAAAAACGGAAGCCTAACTGAATATTTTTCCTGAATTTTATACTAATTGAACTTGAAAAAGAAATTTAATTTGATTTTTTAAATAAACGATTTCACCGATTTAGACGCGTTTTCCCTTGACCAAATTTTGACCGTATCACCCTTTATCCATTAGTACCGTCCCAATGACGCGTTCATCTACATAAAATTTATAAATAGCAGATTTTTAGCGATGGGCCCAATCTTAGATCCATGGGCCAACATTAGAGCCATTTCCCCTATCTTAACAATCTCACAGTCTTGAAGATTCTTCTATCAATCAAATCACATAAATTTGTCTCGGATCTCAATTATTTCTTGAACCTCCGAAATGATTGGCTATAATTTACAATTATGTAAAGTTTCATGCAAATCGGAGAAGGTCACGTCAAATTTATCGTTTTGTTATTTGGCCTGAAGCTGCTCTTCGAAAAAGTTGGGTTACCTGGATTTAAGGCGGTTATAAAACGCAATTCTCCTTTTCCAGGAGAGCGATACGGAGGAACAAGTCTCTGAATGCTTAACACGACTCATCATACAGGACTATTCAGAGTGTTTGAACCCGAACAATTTGCGCCACGTTCTGAATCCTAATGAGGTAAATTCTCCTTATTCTCCAGTTACATTCCATTGCATATTTTTTTCTACATTAAGCTCCCATCAATCTCCACAACCTCTCGGGAAGAACTGCAGTCAACCCTAGAATACCTGCTCAACCAGCAAGCCTCCGGTAAACGCCAAAGGACAAATTCCACACGCCATCCTTCCAATTACCTCTCGCCGAAAGACTTGCACCACCTGCTGTCAACCAACGAGAACTACGTTACCCCGATTAGGAAGCTCGAAAACTACGAGTTTTTCCAACTTATGACGGAAAACAGCCGGCGCTATGATCCCGGAATGAACCGGCCCAGCGATGACGAAGAGGACAATCAGCGATCCACCCAGGTCATCAACCGTTCGTGCAATCCGGAGTTGATCGGTATGTTGAAAGGTTGTCTCAACAACTGAGAACGGTAGGTTATGGATGTTTCAATACTTGTTTTTATTTTCCGAATGGTTCCCATGGGTAATGAATTGTACAAAAAACAGTTCAACTTCTAGCAGATTAAAAATGATGAAAATGTGTTTCTCTGGAGTTTGATTTTGTTATTTAGATTAATATTTTAGCTTAAGATGAGTGGTTGTATATCATAGAGTTACTATAGTCACTTGCTGTTCAATTGGACACTTCCTGATCTTCGCTCGTTAGAAATAAGTTATTATAGGAATATTATAAGTAATCGCAGAAAACCAACAGATTCAGATTGCTACCACTTGGTTGGCTAAACGATGACGTCAGCGACGACTAAATGAACACCTGCTCGGATGCCAGTGCTTCCGTAAACGGTTTCACAATCACGCTGGTCACGAAGCAGAATATCAGTCCGAAGAAGATTGAGATCGGCAGCGCTGGCAGGGCCTTCCGGAAGACGGCCAACAACAGCAGCGTTAGGCAGAGACCCTGAAAAATCGTTGCGATCACCGAAGGTTCTTGGATGATAAATTCCCACACTGGATACTCACCACCAAAATCGCTACGAAGCAGGCGATCGTCGTGTTCCAGTCACCGTAGCTGGACGCCTTGCCGACCAGCACCGAGTAGAAGATGAAATCGCCGAGACCCAGCTTGATGCCACCTGAAAAAAAAAATAAAGTTCCATCAGTTGTTTGGAAACTACTGCTTTCCAATGTCCTAGACTTACGCTCCTCCGCCTGTTCGTACAAGGGAACCTGCTGGGAGTCGCCGGTTCCGGTGCGCTCTACCCGATCCGCCGTGACGGTGCGATACTCCGGCCGGGTTGGATTCGAGGCGATGTTGGCTTGGACTTCGATCTGCCGTCGGGCCACCCGCTGGTCGGAGTTGTTGGACCATTCTTGCGTGAAACCGCCGGATTGATCTGCTGGAAGGTGGCGGCACCACGATTAGCGTGAATGATTGTAGTTGGATTACACCAACAGATAAGGTGGTGTGTGTGTGTGTGTGCATGGTTGTTTAAGTTTGTGCAGAATAGGAATTTGAAGACTTCCACCGGAAATTTTGACGATGAGCGAAAATCTTGAATTGTGTTTGTCATGTTTTTTGGCTGTTAATATTGCTGCTAGTATCCCTGATTTACACCGGTGTCGATAAGAATTACTAATTGTGAATTGCCGATCAGGGTAATGAACCACCAAAGTACGTTTTGTAATTAGGAATTTTCAACAAGAAATAACTCAACGGATTTTGGAAGTTCTGCGAACCTCCATGAGCCTATCTTGAACGTTGCCAGAACTTTCCCGAAGCGTCCTACACTTCCATGAGATTTCCTAAATTACAATGAGGTTTTCCCGAACTTCTTTATGTTTTCGAAGAGTTGTTGAGGTTCCTTGGGTTTTGTTTTGGATCTCTACATATATTTAAAGCAATGAATTGTCTGTAATTTTATTAGACTTTTCAAGATATCCTTTCGGCTTTAGAAGTTCTCTAGACTTCTTCGGCTTCTCTAAAACTACTCTAAGTTTCCCTGAGATTTTGAACGGCATCTTCGAAGAGACTTTTAAAGAGGGTTTTAAAAATTTCTAAAGGCCTTAGGGGTTCCTTAAGTCTTTCTGATATTACTTAAACTAAAATAAAGTTCCTTGAGCGTATTTCAAGTTCGCTGAATTTGTTTGAAGATTCATATTTAAAATTCAGAAAGTTTATCTAAAATTTGCCAGACTTCCCTTTGAGTTCACAAAAATCTTCTATAATGATGATGATGATAGTGGTCTACCACTCATTCGTGTTACAATGAAACTAGTCCGATAGATGTGGGCTATCCTCACTGTTGAACTTGATCATGCTTAATAACCTCTGATTGTCATCATCCTTGTGCTTCTCTAAATTTTATAGAATTTTTCTGAGGACCACAGATCTTCTTTGAAATTCAGGAAATTTATCAAAAATCTGCAAGACTTTCCTGGAGTGCATCAAACTTCTATGAGGCTCTCTGCACTTCACAGATAAATTCTGAGATAACCAGGCAGATACTCTTGAATTCTCCAAAGTGCTTGGAGTTCATCTCGTGAAATCCCACAGGCGCAATGATGTCTTCCATGATGTACTTTCGGAATCCGTAGAACTTCAAATGATTCAGAACATTTGCATTAACAATACATCATAAGGCAAACCGTCCAGGAGTTCAGATCTTGATGTTCTATAGGCGCACCAAAGTCTTCTACGATGTGATATCAATCAAGCCTACGGCATTCCACGCCATCGTAGACTCGAAAAGTCTAGCTTTGTTCCAAGCAAATTTCAATATGCAGGTTTCATCTCTCCAGTATTAAAATAAGCAAACCAACCACCAATAACCCCACCGCACCCAGAACCCAAAGCGTAAGCAATAAACATAGGCAGCGTACCATGCTCGGCACCACGCGAACCGGATTTTACCCGATACGTAACCAGTGGCGTACCTTCAGCGTTGTTCGTTGCCTCGGGCACCCTCGTCGCCATCGCTGCTGCTGGTTGTGCTCCCACTGCAGCCGCGTGCACCGGAGAAGCCGTAGTCCCGTATCCACCAAGACCAACGCCACCACTGCCGGATCCAGTGCCGATTGTGCGTTCTCCGGTGCTTCGGGTTAGCGCTTCCTCGCTCGGATCCGAGTGCGTTCCCATGTACGAATACATGATGGTTGCTATTATTGGAGTTAAAGGAAAAAAAAAAAAACCTTAGCAGTGGTCGGTGACTGTGACTGTGAAAACGGCACTTACAAGAGTAGATCAACGCCGGGAATATTTGCTCGTTTCTTTCGTGAGCCGTTTCCACCAAGATCCGAAGGGGACCTTTCGGCGTCAGGACTGCTATTAAATCTGCAACAGAAGTACTTTGTGATCAATCGATTCTAGTAGTGTACCTGTGTACCGGAAACTAACCCCAAATGGAAATCACGGCCAACACCACCCAGGTGGTCCATTCGGGTAGGTACTTGATGAAGACCAGTGCCATCAGGGCAGCGATGAAGATCAGATAGCCCTGTTGTAACCGCAGCGGTCCCTGCCAATGGATCGAGATCATTCCCACCACGCCAAAGTTCCACATCAGTAGCAGTGCCGTGGGATAGTCGAACGGAATGTTGTACGCCCGGAGCACTTCCTCCAGGTACAGGTAACTGAACAGAAACAGCAACATCAGCGAGGACATGATCAGCCAACCGTGGATTATCTTGTAGCAACGTTTTTTGTACAGTACAATCAGCAGTATTGTCATGATTACGATCACAGTCATCAGGATCATCGAATTGGCCAGCGCGTTCCAGATTTTCGTTCCCGTGTCGTCCGACAACTCGTGGAACGGTGTGTACACCAAGTACACATCTTTGGTGGAGTAGAAGTTGATCGAGCTGATGGTGGCCACCACGACCACCATGCACAGGGTCACCGGAACGAACAGCTTTATAACGTGCTGCGCACCGTATTTGAGACCTTCCTCCTCCTCTTCTCGCTGCCGTGCTGCGGCAGCAGCCCCCGACGGACCATCTCCTGGGGGACGCGTTGCATTTGCACCCGCCTCGTGACTACTTCCCTGGCCACTTCGACTGTTGGGATCTCGTATCGTTACGTTGGGTACGGAATCGGTTGTCTGCGGATCAATAAAATTCCTCATTCAAGACCAATCATATTCCAGCAATCAACTTACCCCATAGGACGGGTGCGTTCCGGGGCCATCCTGTGGCATCTTTTGCCAGCGCTTCCGCGACGAACCTCGACCATCGGCCGCATCGCCACCGAGACCCGCACCGCTGCCGCTGGCCGACGTCGGATGGTCAATGTTTATGTGTCCATCCATCTTCCGCAACAGAGCAGTTCGTTCCGTTGGCTTTCGCTTCCGTTCCCAACTCTGATGATCCACTGCTCTTGCAATGAATCACTCGCACTACCACCCACCTATAATGAACCTACTACCCTTCTGATGCTCGGTTTTTCACCAAATATTACGCCTTCCCAGCAAATTCACTCAAGCACCACACAACTCCCGAACGCCATACAATCGAAACTCATCACAACAGTCGAAAAAAGCTGCAAAAACACGGAAATAAATGGAAATTCTCTTGTTTTGCGAAAATTTCACTACTGCCTGGCGGAAGAAACTGAAAACAATAAACGCTCTCACTTTCCAGTGCGAGACTGACAGCATATAGCAACATAAACGTCACAACGGTCTCTCACTTTCGAACAGTAGTGTCCGAAAACTTTTTGCACTTCCATGTTGAGATTTGAGTGCCATTTGTTTACAACCCATCATCAGTCGGTGGTAATCGCACGTGCTTTGTGGAATTTTGCCAAATTTGTTGGAATTTTCGCGATTGCGAAAGTATTTTTGAGAGTAAAGTGTTTAGTTCGAGAAATGGAAGGTGTTTCGAAAATATTGGGCGGTGTGCTGGATGCCAAGGAAGGGAACGTGAGAAGGTTGCTTTCGGCGTTGGACGAACATCAAACGCTGTGGGCGGAGGTGAGTTGCATACGGTTGATGGTTGCTCGCTGGGCACAGATAAAGGGGGACAGATGGTTTATTTTTTTAAAGAACAACTGAATTAGGAATTACCAGCGTCGTTGCGCATGATACTTTATCATATCTGTTAAAGTTTTGCGATTAATAATTAATTCTATAGTTACCAATGACGTGATATATTCCATATTAAGTTGACCGATTTTATAAAACCGTACCCAGGGATGCCGGATTCAGGCTTCCAGTGCGCGTATCATCGCTTGTGAGACGCACGAACAATAATCTCGCATTCATGGTCGAGTCGTGCACATGAGATGTATTTTTCTCTATATCACGATCATCCAATACGTCGCATCTCACATGCTCATAAAAGTTGTGCGACACACGACTTGGTAGCGCAATACATTTCCTAAAGGGTGTGTTTCATTGTACTAAATCGCATGCGACGTCTCATGAGACGAAGCTCATGAGATTATCTCACAAGATCTTCTCATGTACGTAGTTGTGCGTTGTGCTTTTAGATTTATATGCGAGAACAGTTTTACTTGGGTATGCTGATGGCACTATCATTTCTGATGCGATATTTCATATCTGATACATGATAAGATATCTGATACATGATCGCGTACAACTAAATAGTGGGTCATGTTTGTGTCCCGATATTATGTTATTTCGATTTATTTTGAGGTCCCCAATGAATGTGCCTAATTTCATGGATTCATGGAAAAATACATGAGAATCAGAATGAAAATAAACTTTTTTTTTTTATCAACAACTTAAACATCAGGTAGGTATATATTGGGAAAACCACGTAAACAAATTTTTTTTCTACTCTAAAAAAAGGTTATGATTCATAAAATAAGCAATATTTTCTTCTTCTTCTTCTTCTTCTTTGGCTTTAACATCCCAATCTCAAATGAAGTTACACCTTCTTTGACCAAGCTCTCTACAAATAAATAAGTAAGTGCTTCCTTATTTATTTGTAGAGAGCTTACTATACCTGTAGGGTAGAACAGGGGATAAATGTACCCCGGGGAAAGCACCCGATTTAGTTTTTCATAGCTATTCCACTCTTAATTCTGGGATTGTTTGTGCAAAAAAACTAGTTTAAGCACTAAAATAGCACTGTGACTTGTCAAATTTATGAATTAAAAATTGCCCCGGTGTGCATGTTGGGCTTTTCCCCCGACCATTTTTGCATGCGTATATTGTGTCGTGTGACAGGTATATGATATGCTGATACTCTATGCCTGGGGAGTCGGGAAATTTTCCAACTCCGAAAAAATCCAAATAAAATTGATCATAGTTCGCCACAATTTGAGTTGTCAGATTGCAGTTTTGTGAAATGGAAGTGGAAAAATGTGCACTCATTGTTTTAAAAGTTTTGTTATTTTCCAACGCTAAAGGTTTTTTGAAGATTAAACCAAAAATTAAGATTCTTTTGGGACCAGTGCAACGAGAAATGAAAGTTCAGTTTAAAATAGGATAAGAGTAAGTTACAGTCGTTTCCCAAACTAATGTTAAATTTTATAGCTTAAGTGATTTTAAATAACGACAAGCGACATTTGAAGATTTACGTTTTCCAAGGATTAAAATATTGCATCAGCTGCCCATAAACTGCGAAGACTCCTTTTTTTGCTGTCCTAAACCATCCCTTGCCTCGCGTAGGTAGTTTTTTCGATACCCCATAGTTTTTAGTTTATTAATAGGTCTATACCGTACTCCGGTAAACAAGCCTTTACCCGTGAGACTAGTCCATAAAAAAGCAAAAATTCTCAGTGAATACACACTTGGAAATTATCGCCGACTTCGGTAATTTTTACCGAAATCTGAACAGCTGAACTGTTCGGTAAAATTTATGCAATTCAATTCAATTGCTTTTCAGCTACTTTGAAACTAAATCTCTACTTAAATGACAAGATTTGATCATTTAAACAAGGTTGAACATGTTTTGAAATTATTTTCAAATTCAATAGCCTTTAAAATGAAGGTCAAAGTTTTACCGAACGTTCAGCTGTTCTGATTTCGGTAAAATTTACCGAACACGAAAACAAAATCTCAGTGAATACCTTGTATCTGCAGCCACTTAAGCAGTATTACACGCTCGTCATTGTGTCCGACTTTGATTAAATTTCCCAGGAGTAAAGAACCTATCACCATCGCGGTAAATAAAAATACGATTATAATGGTGGAAGAGCAGCCGAAAACAACGAAAAATTCATTGAAGAACTTTTTTTCTAACGTGACTCCTTTGACGAGGTATACGCCAGACCTTTACTCCATTGAACCACAGGATTCAAAATCTTTAGAAGCTCCATCATGCTACACACTTAAATTTTTTGCCGAGATGGGCAACACCAAGCAGGTCGGTATTTTATTTTGCTGGATCTCAGCGAAAAACTTGCCGAGATTCAGCAAAATTTATCTTTGTTTGCTCAGATCTCGGAAAAATTCCCGTTTGTTAGCTGAATCTCTGAGATCCAGCGAAATAAAATGCCGAGCTACTCGGTGGTGCCCATCTCGGCGAAAAAATCTAAGTCTGTAGTATCATGCATTTGGTATTTGCCTCATACGATGTGCAATACGTGACGTGATTCGAGTAACTATCAATAAGTACTTGAATTACCGTTTTCATTGCAGCAACCAAGCAACTTAATTCGTTTTTGACTGCTTTCTAGTACAGGAATCTCCCAAACGGTGGATTGTGCAGTTCCCTCAGTCAATCGAGTACATTTTATTGTTTGTAATTAGTTTCAATCATGCTGATACTAGTATCCTACAAAAATCCGCTCAATATGTTGGATGACTGCCGAGACATAGCGGTGGGTGGACTGCACTACTCACCGTGCTATTCAGGGGATTTAATAGATAGGGTTAGGGAACTACTCTCAGACCTGAGTTATATTGCCACAGAGTACCTATGAATGGGAAACAGCCACGGTAGCAAAAATTCTTCAAATGCAGAACTGCCAACAGGATAACACCACCATGATGCCACCATGGATTGGATTGCAAGATAGAATTTATATTTGTTTTAATAGTTAGTCATACGATTATTATATGCACAAAAGAGCACAAGGTTATTCGTCACGAAGGGCCACTGTGATCAACCGGTATTCAAAGAGCCTCTTTCGGTAACATACAATTATATTTGATTCAACGTAGAGAGTTCAAATAGTTATCCCTAAATACTTAAGAATCAGAGTGACAAGCCTGCAAACTATGTACCAATGTTGTGACACAGCACGACTGTTCCTTTTTCCGAGACGCGAGTGCTGTGCACAAAAGCATTAACTATAAGTTTGCAGGTTTGGTACTCTGATAGTTAAATGGGAGTTTGGTAAAACGGATCACTGCAAAGAGCCAATGACCTCTTCTGCCACGCTTAAACAGGGATCTCTAAACCAAATGACGCAATAAAAAAAAAGAAGAGTTGCATCGCTCTCTGTTTCATAACTTTTTAAAAATTAGTTTGGCAAATAGGGATATAGAGTAGAATTTTTTAAATCAAACCTCTGAATACAATCGGTTTTGTTCATCATCATGAGTCTCATATCTTTGTAACTGTTTAAGCCATCCAGTGGTAGGTATTTGGGTTATTTTGAATTATCGTGTTGTTTATACGCAGAATGGAATAAAAATATAAGGGAGGGTGACGTTGGTGCACGCTATGTCTGAAGGCACTTTTTTTTTGCAACATTCATGTACCTCAGTTTTATCTTCATATGAAGTTAGTATTGATCCTAACAATCAAATCTGCGAAGGTTTTAAAATATTTCATCTTGAGTTTTTTGAGAAAAAGTGTTTTGAAGTTTACTTAGCTGTTAACAAAGGCGTATACGGACTATTGATTATACAAAACTGTTACGGATCGAAACAAATTCAGCTGAAAATGATTCAAAAGGGGATTAAAGTTGTCAAAACACTAAGTTTCAATGATACAGTAAGATTTGTTCTTCGGTACCGTCAGATATCGTAACAATGTCAGAATGTTTAAATTAATAAAATAATTAAACAATGGTTTAGTCTCAAAATTTACTATTATTGAGCCATTCCATATGTATATATATATATTTTTTTGTTTTTAAATCCAAGCAAATTTAACTTCACCACCTGCTGAGTACGGGACACAAAATTTTCGGATACCTTCTATCTCCTTTATTGAACTGAACTCCAGTAAAAATCTTTCAACGATCGTCGCTACTAAAGTGGCTTGATTTTTTTTTACAGAGTCGCTTTTTCGAAGCACTACAAGCGAACTCTAAATTTTCTTCATGCAGTTTGTTTTTATTTTTTTCCAGATTTTCTACACGATACCTCCAATAAAAACAAAAACACTCGAAACAGGACGAAAATCAATGCCTACTACGATTACGTGGCTGTCTCAGACTGTCCGTTTCTTTCTCTTTTACTCTTATGTGGGAAGAGAAATTAATTCAGAAGTTGTTCTAGCAAAAAATATTAATTGATTTTGGTCAAAGTCGACATAATCAATACGGATCTTACTTAAGAGTCAAAGAGAACTCTTTAATGCCATTTAGATTAATGCAATCATCATTTGAACCTTGTTTAACTGCATTTGTTCAATTTGCAATAGTTTTGTATCGTCAATAGTCCATATATGCCTTCATAATCGGCTTTGTAAACTTCAAAACACTTTTTCTCAAAAAACCCAAGATGAAATATTTTAAAACCATCACATATATGATTGTTAGAATCAATACTAACATCCTGTCAAGGAAAATCTGAGGTACATGAATGTTGCAAAAAAAGTGCCTTCAGACATAGCGTGTGGTGGTGTATTTGCCTTATTTTTATTGAAAATGAAGCACATATTAAACGCATGGGGCGTTAACTTTAGATTATCAATATCCCAAACAGCTCTCAAAACTCAGTTATATGCATGTATGTATTTTGCCTCTCTGATTCCTGATAAGGCCTTTATTAAAAAAAAAAAACAAAAAAAAAACATTTCATTTGAAGTAAAACATTCAGATCATGAC